AGGGCAGGGGAAGGGAGGCCCTCAGATTTTGATCTCTGTCCGGAAGGTCTGCTGGACGTGCTCTGTGTGCGGGTGTCGCCGCGCCCGGATGGTGAGGCTGCCGTCCTCCCTCAGGGCCGAGGTCACGGAAGTGGGGTCCACGTCCTCGGGCAGCTGGCATTTGTGAGCGAAGGTGTTCATGACCGTGCCGTCAGCTGCCAGCTGGGGGGGAGAGCTGGGTCAGGGCCGGCTGCCCTGCACCCCTGTCCGGCTCATGTCAAGCCCCAGCCCCTTCTCCCCCGTCCAAGTCCAGCGGGCCCCTCCCGCTGAGGGGTCTGCTCTCAGGCTGGTGCAGGGTCTGGCCAGGATGATGGTGGCCACAGGCCCAGGGCTATGCAGGGACAGGTGCACAGGTGCTGAGGATTCCAATGGGCAGGCAGGGGGCTTGGCACAGGGCCGAGTCGGGCCCTCTGGACACCCAGACCCGCTGGGTCTCCACGGTCAGGGCTGGGCCGGTGGCCCTTCCCCCACGGCTTGGTCAGCACATAGTGTCCAGAGGAGCCTGGGGTGGCTGAGTCACTGGCGGGAGTGGCAGGGCTGGCACATGCTGCCCACTGGTCCTGGTGCCCACAGTCCCTGGCTTCCCTGACAGGGTGCCCAGGCACCTAGCATCCTGCGCTCAGGGAGGGAGCCGGGCCCTGGGGGCTCTGGCAGAGCTGTGGGCAGCCCCTCTCCTTTATGGGGCACCTGTGGCTGTGGCCCACTGCGGGCAGCATCCAGGTTCAGCTTGTGGCACACCCTCCTCCGAGTGACCCAGTGACCCTGAGAACCGTGGGTAGAGGGAGTGTGGGGTTTGGAGTGTGGGATCCTGAATGGCAGGGACTCTAATTCAGGGGTCCCAGGTTGGAGGCTGGGCCTCTGGAGCCAAGAGGGAAGAGGGCTTGAGGGGTGTCATGTGGGGGAACTCTTCCCGCAGCTGTCCAGGTGAGTCCCCAACTCACCTGTCCTCACTCAGCTGTCCTCACTCAGCTGTCCTCACTCAACCACCATCTCCCTCTCTCACCTCACGGCTCAGGTGCCCCCTGCCTGCATCCCTCCCCCCTCCCATTCCCCTGGGGCCCTCTCAGTGGCCCAGGCTCCTGGAAAACGGATCTCGGGGCAGAGAGAGGCAGTAACGGGGATCCTGCGGTCCACGAGCTACAAGAGCAAGGTCTCCAATGTGCCCTGGGGACTTGGAGGGACATGGGATAGAGTCTGGGGTCCCAGGATGAGACATGGGAGTAGGGACACTGGGCAGAGGGTGCAGGGGCAGAGCCTGGGGTCCGGGCGGGCGGGCAGCTCACCTTCTCCGCGCGCACCTCGATGTGGTTGTTGGACGTGGTGACGATGATGTCCTCAGGGGAGAAGTCGCTCACGTCCACTGCAAACTCGTAGGCATCGCCGAGTGTCTTGATGTTGCCCGGCCCCCCAGTGCGGGCTGTGGGGAGGGCTGCCGTGAGCCGAGCACAGAGCAGGCTTGCACCCAGAACTCAGGCTTCCGGCTCCTTCTCCTGGGGAGAGGGGAGGCCCCCCAGGCCTGACTTCCCTTTCAGCTATTGCTCCTAACCTCCCTGCCCACCCTCCTCACCTCTTGCAGCCTGCCTTTCCCATGGTGGGGCTAGAGCCTCAACAGGCACAGGTGTGTGTG